TGATTTAGGTGTTGATAGTTGTTACACTATCAAAGCCTGACAGATTTCGTTAATTTTCTAAGTCAAATGTAGCAATCTTGGAGACATAAGATAGCAGCTTTAATTTTTTTTTTTTAGCAGTTTTAATTAAAAAATTGTTTTTGATGGAGATTTTTCTCCTTTAAGAATATATAAATTATTATGCTTGTAATAAGCTATTTAAATTAATTTACTTAATTGGAAAGGAATTATTTGCAGCCTTAGGTTGAGGCAGTGCAGTATACATTGTAAATTTAAGTTTTACTTGTTGATTTTGAGAAAATTTGTAGTAACTATGCACTAGACATATGATGTTTACTATCTAAGAAGCACCTACATTTTAAATTAAATTTAGAATAAATAAAAATTGAGCTTAAAATATTTTTTAAACTGAAGGTTCTAAGAATAGTATTGTATTTTTGGTAACAACTTCTCAAGTATGTATGTTTTGTTGATCAAGCTTTAGTATCTTTGTTATCACTTTATTTCTTCGCTTTCATGATTTCTTTTAGGTTATCCTGGTTTTGAAGTAAAAGAAGTATATGGTTGACTTTAATCAGCACAATAAAGGTGTTTTAATAATTTTTTTAAACTTCTGGATGTAGGACTACTTATGGGATTGATTTGAATTTAATTGATACTGAAGTTGGTTAGCTAGTAATCTAGTACTGGGGTTTAAGTTTCAAGCTTGTTCTTGCTTTTCAAAAAGTTTGAGATCATGTAATCCTTTAAAAGTGTTTTTAAGGGGGCCGGGAAGATGGCTCAGTAGAGTAAGCACTTGCCTTTCAAGTGCAGGGGCCTGAGTTCAATCCCCAGTTCTGCCCCTCCCGCCCCCCAAAAAGTTCTTAAACTGGCAAAAATTTAGTTGTCATCTAAGTAAGCTAAGTTTCTTTAAAATAGAATTTTGATTGTTGACAATTTATTTTTAACATTATTATCTTATTGAAGTATTTTTGTTAACTGAGGATGAAAGTAGGATGAATCATTTTTCTCTTCCTGTTTTGTAGTGACAAATACTGTAATTGGAAAGTGATGGTAGAAACTGCATTTATATCAAGATATTTGTAATTTATTACTAGAGTAATAGTGTCTAATGATTAATCTGTATGTAAACTGACTTGAGTGAAGTCTCTGATTGTAAAACTAAAGGAAAGAATCTTAATGGTTTTAGTAATAATACAAACCAAAATACTTGATTTTAAAGACTTGTAAATAGCACTTTTTGAGAAATATAAATAAGCACACTACATATATCATGGGAGAACACTGCCACCTTGTGTCTATGTGATGTTATTTTATGTCTCCATTTTCTTTTACACAAGCTGATACAGACTTTTTGCACCATTTGGTGCCATAATCATGTGTGTAAATATATGAAATAGCTTGTTTTACCTTTTTATGTATAAAGTCAAGCCAATTTTTTTTTCAGTAGGAAGGGTCTTGTATTTTGAAGACCTGAAGTGTGGTGTACTTAGCTCCAACAGTTGGAATGGCAGAGAGATGATACTGATTAATTGACCTCTGGGGTCAGTTAGGCATTGCATCCTATTTGAATCTGACCTACAGTTGGGGATTCTTTTATTATTCTTCATTTTAGTGCTTTCAGTGCTTTAGGATTAGTTTGAATGGCAGAATTGATTACACTGTAGGGAGGTATAAGTAATCTGGCCTATTGAGATGACCATATTCCTTCATTAGTTTATTTTTTCAGGTCAAGTGCACAATGACCACAATAATAACATGGAATGGTGTTTTAAAAAAATTACTGATGTTGTGGGAGAAGTTCTCATAAAAATTAGTTTGGTTACCTGGGGGGACGACCTGTAGGGTTTCAGATATTCTCAGGAGATGACATCAGCCTTGGATGCTCACAGCTGTTTTAGTTATGTAGCCATGGTTCTCCTGGAGGAGCATCTTCGTTTGAAAAAGCCGTTGAACTGGGTGGTAAGGATCTTTTTGGCTTTTGAATTCTGGTGTGTAAAGCTTTTAAAATGTTAATAATAGTGATTGGGAATGAAGCTCAGTAGTAGAGTGTATGAGACCCTGACTTTGATCCCCAGTATACCATTTCCTTGCAAAAAAAAGATGTCACTATAATGACCTTCAGTGTACTCATTTTATATAGGAAGTTATTTAAAAATTTGGTGTAATCACAGGGTTATGTTTAACTATAACAGCATAAGTAATTTGAGGGGATATATGTGTATAAGATTTTAAAACTAGAAACTCAGGAAATTTATCCATGTTCATCTAATAATGTCTGAGGTACTTGAAGACACCAGAAATTTTGTTTTGGGGTAATTTAAATATATGCCCTAAGTCATTTATCACTGTATTGGGTCCAAATACATTTCAGAAACCTACCTTTCATCCTCTAGAATGACTCCTAAATTCATATAGATATGGGGGGGGGGCCTGGTCATAGGTGTGTTAGTAAGCTTTCTGTTGCTATAATAACTACTAGAGAGGTAAATCAACTCAATAAGGGCAAAGGTTTATTTTAGCCCATAGTTTTGGAAGCTTCAGTCCATGGCTGAGTGGCCCTGTTGCTTTGGGCTTGTGGTTAGTCTGTTCATCATGGCAGTGTATGGTGGCTTGAACTGTTTACCTCATGGCTGGGTCAAAGAAAAGAGGCCAGAGTCCTGCAGTTCCCATTCTAGGGGGCATATCCACAGTGACCTTGGACCACCCCTAGGTTCTCTCTCTTAAAGGGGGCCACATTCTCTTGATAACACCACAGCCTAGGGGCCAAGACTTAAGATGTGGGCCTCTGGGGAATTTCCTGATCCAAAGCATGGCAATGAGGAAGAATTTTCTCTTGGGTAAAAAAGGAAAAGGTGCATTGGCCACACTTTGAACAGTTGGAAATTCTTTCTGATTTTGGAAATTTCTCACTTTGGAAATTTAAGGTCAAAGATTTTTTGCTGTGATATCTCTTCATTTCATAGTGTATAGCAGCGGATACTTTCTCATCTTGATTTATTTCCTCATGGTGTGCTGAGTGTGCCTTTGTGACCAGGTTTTGCATTTTACTTTGGAGCCATCTAGGAATAGTTGTTTCAGATTCTAGAGATAATTTTCAGGAAGATATTTTTCATTGTTAATCTATGTACAGATGCCAAACTTAATATCTACTGAAATGATTTCCCAGTACTTGGTTGTTGTGATGCCAAAGCAAAATGACTACTTTGTTCTGCATTTATTTTGTATAATGCCAAACTACTCCTTTGTAAAAGGGAAAAAAAGCCTCTCATAATGCATGTTTAAATTCACTAATTAATAAAGTACATTCACATGAAAAAAATCTGTGGCTATATTAGAAAACATTAAAGATATTAATGTATTAAAATATACATTATCCCAATGTAACTCATTATAGAAATATAATTAGTAAATTATGTTTCATAAATATGTGGAGTGTTTAGTCATTAAAAAAAAAAAAGAAAAACAAAATGGACGATATTGATAACCTAATCTTTTTAGAAGTGTAATCTTAGTGGTTGTGGTAGTGCACTCTTGTTGTCCTGGCGCTCTGGGCGGTTGAGGCAGGAGGCACATCAGTTTTAGCAGCTTGAAGACAAGACCCTATCTCAAAGTAAAAAATAAAACCAAAAAGGACTAGGTATGTAGCTCCGTGCTAGGGTCCTCAGTTCACTTCCTAGTAACACATGCACATGCTGTCTGTCTCTGTGAAAATGAATGTGTCAGTGGCGATGTTAGTTTACGAGATTTTTCTGTGGAGATTTTTCCAAAAGTTTTCTTTCTAAACCTCTCTTTACTATACAGTAGGAATGTTTTGGGATGAGAAGAAAACACTAGGCATTAACTGAGTCATTGACAATCTAGTCTCTGGATTGTTATTCTTGAAATATTTTGAACAGTTTGTTTTTATATGGGAATTGTATGTTTGTTGTATGGGGGTTCCAACTTTAAAGAACATCCTACTTGCTTTGTTGCAATTTTATATGTAGAGTGAGATTTTAATACATATCTAGTCACTTGTATTTGGTTCAGTTTTATGTTCATTATCCGCTTGTTTGCAAAGCCTCTGAACAAAAATTATGATTGTAATAAATTTACTTGTCAGTTATTTATTTCTTCTTGAGGATTATGAAAATTCAAAGAACACTTTCTAATGAATATATCTCTGTTCATTTTAATTTTTAAAAGAGTTGAGCTGTCTAGGTATGGTGGCTTGTACTACTGCAGCTGCTGTTTTTTAAGTTTTAATGCATTGAATAACTCAATGGGTAGAGAATAGGTTTTCATTATCAGTTGCATAGCTAAATTTGTAGTGAGAAAGTTTACCAACAGTTTATTTCAGTAGCCAAGATCACACTAGGGTATGATGTGAACACATAACAAAGACTTAACACTGTATGTCAGTGTGATTGCTTACTGTGCTTTGCACAAACGCAGACCTTTCTGTTCCTGTGAGATTTGCGTAATTGCATGACTGAATCATTGATTTTGATCAGAATGATTTTTGAAACTATGAAGTATTTCCCGTCACTGAGATTTTTATTAAATGTTTTTACTAGAGGACCTACCTTGTAAAGTGGCTGCCATTAAAACAGAAGATTTTTTTTTTTAACGTGCACAAAGTTTTGTTTCCAGTTCAAGTGAATTTTTAGTTTTAATTGAAAAATTTTAGGGGGACATACTAAAATTTAAAATTAATAACATGTATAAAATGAAACATTCAAACTCTTAATATCATCTTCCTTTTTAATCTTTTTCTTTTCTTTCCTTTTGAATATAGCCTTCTGATGCATGTGTGGTTTATCAAAATGATCCTTTATTTAGAAATATTATAGTAAATCTTTTAGTATGTGCTCATTTTATTGAAGTGGGCATATTAGTGGGTACTATATTCATGGGCATAAGGACTTTTAAATAATTGTGAAAATTGATATCAAAAAATGTAATCTTGTTTTAGAATCTTTAGCTTAGGTCTTATTTATGTGTCTTCTTCTCATTAGGCAAGAAGTCATGAAATGGAATGGATGGGGATATAATGATTCCAAGTTCTTCCTCAATAAAAAGGGCCAACTTGAGTTGACTGGGAAAAGGTAACCTTGGTTTGTTTATTATTATTTTCTCTTCCTATAAAATTTTTAAACATGGGGCTGGGGAGATTGCTCAGTAGAGCAAGCGCAAGGGCTCGAGTTTAATCCCTGGTTCCACCAAAAAAAAAAAAAAAAAAAAAAAATTAAACAAAAAATACAATAATGAAAATAATATGATGGACCTTCCTTTAAAAATTATTACTATTTTCATACTTCTTTTTTCTATAATATTTTAAATTTTGACATTGTCATGATCCTTGTATTTGTTTAAAGAAAAACAATACAACCAATCATGTAATTATCATACTTCACAAAATAATGAACATTTTATAATATCTATTTAAACCATGTTCATATTCTGCTAATTCTTTCACAAATACTTTTTATAGATAGTATATTTGAATCAGGAGACAAGCATGATCTATAGTCACCTTACTACTCAACCTCTATGCATCTGATTTATTGAAAGTAGCTTCATGTACAAGTCTGGTAATTTACATCTCAGTGTATATTAAGTCTTTATGAGTATAAATAGTATTTTAAAAATTAGTTTCTGAGGTATATTAGGAAAGAAATGATGAAAGATACCTTTTGATAGTTTTCAATTTCTGAGATATTTCGGTAATGTGTTGATAAAGTTATAAAGGCTATATAGCTTTTGCAGGGGCAGTTAGTATAAATATGTGATGAGTGAATACTGGCTCCAAAAAATAAAGAATTGAGACTAAGTGAAAAATTGGATCAGATGAGCTATGAATCTATTTTATTATTATACTTTGATTTAATATATTTTGGGCAGTAATACGCTTAGGTTAATTTTTTAAAAATTGTGTGTTACTATGATAAAATGTCAGCAGGGAAACTTTTTGGGAGGTTATTTCTTTTTATTTGCAATATAACTTCCATTTTTTGGATTTGTATTTTGTATCTGAAGTAAAACATCAGGAGTATAATTAGAAACTTATTTTAATGAATATATGGAGATGTCCATTGTCATTTTTCATAGGAAAAATAGATACTGTGTGTGTTCTCTTTTTCATCTTTATAGATACCTGGGCAAGATGCAGATAGAGGCTTAGTTGAAAAATTTTCTAACTCAGGAGAAAGGCATTTCTGATTAAACTTAAATTTACTAGTGGTCTAGATCTTAAGTCTTTTATGTTTGAAATAGAATAGTGAGCAAGATATTAGACACTTATCTCTAAAGCGTGGTTTTTCAGTCTTTTGGAGAAAAAAATCTTATGAACTTAGAAGACCTACTGTCTCTCCTTATGCACAGTTCCTCATTTCTCTTTATTAGGATCTTGAAGGTATAGCATTTTTACTGTTTGAAGGGAGCAGGTTGTCACTTGTTTTGTGTTTACCACAGCATCACTGAAAGCATCAGATGCCTGTAGTAGGCCTCTATATTGCACTCTGGGTAACTTATTCATTTATAGTAGCAGTGTATTGTCATGAGTGATTGGTCACAGAAAATACTACAGACAACCACACCTTAATGGGTTCCATAGTTTCAGAATCAAGTTTTTATGTTAGATGTTGTAGCACTTAATTTACCGGTTTTCCTGGAAGTGATCAGGCTGTTGAGAATTAACACATGGGCCACATTTCTGAGAGTGATTTTACAAATTAAGAGTCCGAGTTATTCATTTATGATTAGATTATCCCTACTTAAAATTTGCAATTCATTTATTGTTTGGAGAATATAAATTTAGAGCAGAGGATTTGATGGTCCTGATAGAGATTTTTATCCAGGCAGTAATAGCACCGGAGAATTTGTGTGTTAATTTTAGACATTAGAAGATCACTGCCTCTGCCACTATTAGCAGAATAAATTCCTTAGAAGGCTTCAGTTTTTTTGCAACTTGTCAGAATCAGTGGGAGAAAGAATTTGGGTGCTTCTGCTTCTAAGAGCATACAAGGGAGACCAGGAAAGTTGAATAATAGCTGGCATATTCACCTTAATGGATGATAGGTTTTGCCTACCTTCAAGAATCGTATTTTCCAAATCATAGAAAATATCTAATATACAATCTAGTATGCAAACAATTTAGTAACTAAAACTAAATAATTGTATTCAGTTTGCATTTTGGTATTTTTAGAAGTGCCATTTTTACTATGTTACAGACAGGATAATAAACTGAATTGAATTGAATCACTACTTGTTCTAAATCTAGTTTGTTTCCTGGGCATGATGAGTAAATTAGTAGGCTTCTTTGCTTTTTATTAGAAAACATCTGCAAGCTTTCTTTTTGAAAGTCTCAAGGATTGAACCCTGGCCTTATGTATATTAGGCAAGCACTCTACCACTGTGTTACATCGTTAGCACACCTGAGTTCTTTTTAACTGAAAAGGGCAGTGACTTCTGGAGTCTCTCCTCCATTATCCACTTAAAACATATTCAACAAAACAGAGGGCTTCATAAGATTTTTTTCTCCAAAAGACTGTGAAAAACCACACTTTAGAGATGTGTCTAATGTCTTGCTCACTATTCTATTTCAAACATAAAAGACTTAAGATCTAGACCACTAGTAAATTTAAGTTTAACCAGAAATGCCTTTCTTCTACATCCAAATAGCTCAGCAGATTAAAGCGCCTGGTTAGGCAGACATAGCAGCCAGGGTTTGATCCCTGGCCTGCCTTGCTGCCCCCCCCCCCCCCCCCCCAACCAGGGCACACTGAGGTGGTGATTGAGACTGGATGTGGTGGTGTGCCTGTAATCCCAGCTCTTGGGAGGCTTAACACAGGCCGATCACTACGAATGCGATCTACATAGTGAGACCCTATAGACCCTTACTAAAATAAAAAACAAAACAAAACAAACCATATTCAGCAAAACAAAAATAGTAAAAGGAGGATAAAAACTACTTCTTGAAAAAAGTTTCCTTTGACTTTATCTTATACTATGTACACAGATCAACTTATGGATTGTAGATCTAAAACTAACTATAAAATTTCCATCACAGAATTCTTTTTCTTTTCTCATTAACTTTATTGGAAATCAGTAATTATATAGCATATTAAAAATTCAGACAAATATTGAAATGTGAAAGAAACAAGATGTAGACAGAGTAAATTTTAGAGAAATGTTTCTGAGATGAATACCTAGCATGAGATTAATAATAGATTGCACATTGTAAATAATTTACAAACTTAAATGAATATAACAATAAAAATTATCCAAGATAAAAATGAAGAATTTACAATGCTTGTCATGTCATATCAATTACTGCCATACTGTCTCTCAAGTAAATGTTTAAAAAATAACAAATGAAAACAAGAGACAAGAAAAAAAATGTCATAGGACTGTCCTGCTACAATGCTGTGTATGGTTAGATTTCTAAATTTCTGTGTAAAAAAATGTAATTGTTTATTCCAATTTTTAAAAATGTTTTTCTAGTTATTTTTTCTTCACATTCTGTAGGGATTTAAAGTTTAACATATCAATACTTGATGGAAAATACCAATTCCGTGCTATGTCTAAGATGTTTGATATTCACACAGATAGTGAGGTTAAGCTCAACTCCCTATATTATAGGATAATAATGTCATTAAGCTTCTCTTCTGGAGGGTTAACAACTTAAGTTTGCAGACTAAAAATTAGAGCAAAAGAAGGGCAGCAAGGACAGCCAACATTTTGGCCCTTGCCTTTCAAGGTCAGTGAGGACTCAGGACCAAAGAACTTGTACTGTAACATCTTGTAACTCAGTGATGTCCCATAGTTTCTGATCAAGGAGATTGTAGAGCCACAGAGGAAAGTGATTGATGATATGGAGTGTGCCTAAGGAGAGCCACATGGAGAGAAAACTTTCTCTCAGGCTTTCACAGAGAGCAAATTGGTCAAGCAATGGCTGTAACTCATCCACATGGCTGACACTGACAAAGGATCTACAACTGTGATACAGGGCTTCAGGGTAAATCCTGAAGGGATTTGACTGACCTTGTCAGATACAAAAGTTACATTTTTTGTTATATAGGTCTTGCTTTGTCTTGGTCTTAACCATCCGGCAGAAAAGTATAAAAATGAGGTATAAAAAGTAAAGCCATATTAATATGCTGAGCTATAAGCATATAGCTCAGTTAAGTCAACAACTTCTGACATTGCCAGTCCTATGGATAACCCACTACTATTATGGACTACTGGACTATATTGGATTATTTTGAATTCATGTACCTACAATATTTAAATGGCAATGGAATACCCATCTGACAAAACTAAACAAAAAAAGGGGATAGAAATGAAGGACTATTTTGTATCTGTATATACAAAATAGGATAGATATATAGCTACTTTCTCTTAATTCAATGAGAAGAAAAATTTATACTAATAGTGTTTAGACAGGATATCATGTCTGCATCCTGTACTATGGATAACCACTACAAAGACAACAGTATGCAATGTAGTAATTATTGAAAGTGTCCTATTAATCGGTTTTGAAGCTGTCTCATTGCTATTTGTTTCTCAATAAAATTAATAAAAAAAAGAAAAAAAAAGAATTTACAGATCATTTGTATAATAGTTCAGTTTGTGCCAAAATCAAGAAACTTATATTCATATAATTAAAATTCTCAAAGAAAAAAGGGTAGGGAGGCCAGGGAGATAGCTCAGTAGAATAAGCACTTGCCTGGCAAGTGCTAGGTCCTGAGTTCAATCCCTGGTACCACAAAATAAATAAATAAATAACAATAATAAAGGAAGACTATTCTCTTGGAAAAAAAAAGGGTAGGCAATACATATTTAAAGATTTAAAATTTCTGAATTTTTGAAATTATAGCACCACATTTCCAAGAAAAATGAACCTTTTGCACAAGAAACTTGGATAAAATCATACCAAGATACACAAAAATGAAATTGTCCAAAACTAATTGTAAAGAAAAAAAAGCATATGCATAAAAATATGAGCTATGGAAGAACATGATTAAATAGCATCTTATTCCACATTAGAAAAAAAAGAGTGAGTAAGAAACTAATTAATTCAAAGGACTGAAAAAAAAACCTGTCC